AAAGTCTAGGTGAGCATTCTTTTCACCATCTTTAAAGGCATGTAAAGAAAAAGAGATTATTTTACTTCAAGAGACTTAAATGTAATACACAAAATGGTTGTTTAGTACTCAAAAGTACAGAAGTGGGGAAAAAGCATGAAACTATTTTCTGCACTGTTCTGTAGGTAACATGCAACATTTTACCTAATAGCTGGAACTTCCCCCTTCATTGAATTAGTGAAAAGGACTTACTCTTGCCTTTCCAAGTTAAGTAAATGTACAGAGTTAACATGGAACACCGACAAGAAAAAAAAAAAACAGTTGTTTTGAAATTCAAATGACGCATAGGCATCTATATTGATTTTGGAAACTGAGTTAAAGGCTAGAGTTGCAAGTCTGTAAAGGTGCCCCTCTTTCATTCCTAATTATCCATTTCAACTTAGAAGCCAAAAGCCATGTCTCCAGCTCTAGAGGCATTCTTCTAATGTGAGTTCCCACAAAAATGTGAATTAAGAATGAAACTGAAAAGCCAAGATTGTTTCTTGAAATCAATATCAAGGTATTTAGGCTGAAGTATTGCTAGCTCAGAGTTTCCCTAGAACACTGTTTTCATTTCAAGGGGGGAGGGGGGGAAGGGGGAAGAAAAAAAAGCAGCTTCAATATTTTAAGCATAATTGTTTGCAATGTTCTGTAAACAGAAAACCTTCAGTTGATGAAGAGGTTCCTTTTCCTCACTCTTTTGTGCATACACACACCAAGAAAATGCAGCTTTTTTAGCCAGAAGTGGATGTACTAGTGACTTCATAAGCCAACAGAAAACTCTCTATTCAAGCAACATTGAATCAGTTTTCCTGAGGCAAAACAGCTTGACTATAGACCAAGACTAAATGATGTGCTGAATATAACCCTAGAAATGTTAAGCTTCACTTACAATGAGGGTATTCCACTATCTCATCTGCTGGCAGAGGAGATGAGCGTGGCATAACAAGAGGAAACGGGGAATACACATGCAATTTTTCTCACCACTTGCATCAAGTGTATGCTTAAAAACCCTTGAATTCTTCAAACTTGAAGTATACTATTCATTAAGCTGAATGAAAAGTCACTTCATCTTTGTGAACTTCAGCCACTGCCTGATTAATTCAACCCAATTTCACAATAAATTTCAAATCTTCATATGTCAAGATTTCCACATCAAGCCCATAGGGTTTTTTGAGCCATTTAGATTATATGCAAGGTAGGAATTTACAAAGAACCTTTGTAACACCAGCAGAAATCTGTAGGGTTCTGCACTTTTAAAGCGGTGAGTAGATCTAGAATGGTGAACTAGATCAGAGCAGAGATTAGACTGGCAAGTACACAATGTTCTGCTTAAGTGTGATGAGAGAAAGAAACCTAGACAATTGTTATCCTGTATGGATGGAATGTATCCTTCAAAGCATGGAAATTTTTTATTTAAAAGGTAATCAACAATAAAGAGAACCATTAAGAAAAAAAAAAAAACAACAATACAAACCACAGGATAATTTCAACATAGTTGTAAAAAGATACACCAGTCTGAAATGAATGAGTTAACTTTCAAAAGAAAATATTAAATCGAAGGAAACCTAAAGTTCAATCTCTCCAAATTTCAGCAAAAAAATTGATACAGCAGCACACAGCAAGTATTAATTGAGTTAAAAATGACAAAGGTATAACAAAAATGAGTAGGTATAAAAGTAGATACAAAACTGATTATAGGTGACATAACGAATAAAAGTTTAAAACCGTTGTTCAGACTGATTTTATATCACGTGCTCCTTTGTGAACTTGGCTAAAAGTAGAGGCATTAGTATAAAAACAAGAGGCTCTCACCATCCAACAGTAGACATTGGAGAACCTTTGGGATCAGTGCATTGGAAATGGGAAAACATATAGAAAGTCTTCAAAGTCACATAAGCACAAACAACAGAATTTCTATGATTACACATTATATAATCATTTCAGAACAACAGGAAAAGAGAAGTTGCATCTCTACTGCAAGACTTGGTACATGCCTGTAGAACAAACTGTGTCTTCACCAATATCTGTTTCAGTATTTTCAGTTCACCAAGGTTAGCATTAGCAATATCATTTAAAACTTTTAGGAAACACTTCAGAAGTACAGTGTTAAATGCAGGTAAGATACGTTCTAAATTCAGGAGAACCAAGTTACCAGGCTCTAAGTATTCCTTTCCACTTTTACTCAACAGACTAACAGGAGCTTGTTCAGACTTCTTTGATCTTAGCACATAAAAGCTGTGAAAGGCACATGATCAATGTTTATAATTTATTGAAGGCTACACGCCAAGGAGTTGTCCTTAAATAACAATATAGAGATGGTGCAAATTAGGAATCAAAGAATGTATTTAGGCTGGAAGTTAAAAGAAACTTCTAAACATTGAGAAAAAGGTTTTTGAAACTTTTTTCCAGAAAGAGCAACAGGGCAAAGTACTTAACTAGTTCTAAGGGAGACTGTAGTCAGTTTATGACTGGGATTGGATAAGATTGTTTCCAAACAGAAAAGCCTCTTCTGCAGCCTTGAATTGCTACAATGAAGAACTGCTCCCTATTTTGCTACCCCACTTCCCAGTATTGTTCCTTCCCACACTTCCCAGTAAAGTTCAACTGGGGCTATGACATGGCTAGAATTAACTTTTGATATTTAAGAGAAAACAGTCATAAGACTTAACATCCTTCCCCACTACCTTGCATATTTTTATAGAATATTATATCAAAGTGGATAACTAAAGCTGTCCTTGAGATCAAAAGATTTAATCAGCAACTGAACAGAGCAGTGCATTGTAAACATACTGAAATGATACTGCCCCTTTCAGCCTTCATTAAATATTTGTCATCCGTGCTAGCTTTCTGCTTACTATATGAATACCCAAAAATAGAATTTGATTGTACTCCACGCATTTAAGCCTACAATTCTGGCAGCATCCTTTTTGTACTGAAGTTACTACCTGGACACTTCACATAAATTTCTGTTAAGACATACAGCTAACTGTCCCCCTGCACAATATACACAATTCAGTGGTAATCATTGAATGACTCACTCAGAAATTTTCTTATGACAAGAGCAGTGTGTCATCCAAAAATAGCTACAGAACGTATTCACATGACTGTAGGTATGGACCAGTTGCCAAAAAGTTATTTGGATACCATTAAGAGAATATCAAGCAGGGCTACAGTCAGCAACCTCTGCTCCGCTTACATCCATAAATAAGTGTGCAGCATTTCCATGGCAGAAAAACATGCTCAACCTGTTGCAGATGTAGAAAAGGCAAGCAAGTCTGGTCACTGAACTGCCCATACCCACAACGCATTGTATCAAACATAGTCATGACACTGTGTACATTGTAACTTGAACCACACTTGCGTAGCTCAACATAAATTTTGCCTCAAATTTATGCAAGACTGGAACTTAAGCAATGACAGAAGTTGTTCAAACCCCTAGTTTTTTCAGAACTTTGGCATTATCCATGTGTAAACTAAGAGCCAAAGCAGTGTGGCCAATTAAACAGAGCAAAGATATTTTTATTTCAGTTATATCTCAGACCAGTAAATGAGCAGCACTTTCTATGCTTTAAGGAGATCACAACATCATCTCCAGTTAGAAAAATTAGAAAAGAAAACAGATTGCACTCTTGTTTCAAGTTCAAGAATAAAGCCAGTGAACTCCACTTTTACTGTCTGTCATTTGATTTCTAGCATCATCATCAACAGAATCTTTTTTGCTTGCTTTGTTATAGACTGGACAGAGAATTCCACCTTAAATGATATAAAGTGATATGTGCAACTTAGTTCAATAACAGCATGCAGTACTGGAGTAAATGGAATTGACAGCAAGAGTCCATATTCCTCTCTCACTACTCTCCTAAACTTGTACTTATTTTTTGTTCCCTTATTCTATAGCTCTAAAGCATAGCAGGACAACTGCAAACAGCCTAGTTTTCAAAATATGCAGTTAGCTTAGCTCATATGTTCTGTCTTATCTCTTAGATTTCTGGGTTAGTAATAGGTTATCTTCTTAGTTAAGCTCTTTCTCCCACATGCCTTTACACTCTTCTACAATAAGGCTACAACTGATGAAATTGGCAAATCACATGTGCCACCTCCTACCCTCGCTCTGATGACATGACTTAGTGCAATCTACAGCCTCCACTGACAACATGTAGTATTTTTTTAATTAGAAAGCAGTACTCTTACAGAACAATAGAACACAATACTGTAAATAGCAAATGTTTTTATCAAAAATATGCTATCAAAGTAATTAACCCCAATTTAAACTAGCTCAGAAATTACAAAGCCTCAGTCTAGTTTTCCCAGCAACAAAACTATCAGAACATTGCAAAATTCACTTGTGCCATGAAACTAAATTATTAATAAATCTTGCAATATGAAATCATGATCTCACCACTCTGAAAACCCCATATTCTGATTTACAAAAGAAACACTTGCCTCAACAATAAGTATGCTTAACACCAAGATTCCTACTGAACAGTAGTTCTCCTCAATTCAGCTCCTCTAACAGACAAGTGCCAAGAGCTGTTCTGGTACTGGCTCAGAGGCAGTAAGCAGAACTCTTGGAAGCAGCTTATCACGTTTTAACCGTTTTCTCAAAGGATGGAAATAATCAAAGCAGACATCACACAGATTTTGGCTGCTGTAGTTGAGAAAGTCAGCACTCTCAATGTAAGTTGTGGTCTCCCCAGTCCAAGTTTTCTTCCTTCTGCATGCCAGAATTTTGTACAAACCATAAGCTAAAAGTAAAGCATAGCAGCCTAGCTATTCTAAGTCTACCCATGTAAAGCAAAAATAATCTAAAGCATCATCCTCACACTGCCAGCCACTTCCAAAGTCTGCCAGAGATCTCAGGCTGTAATGTGTAAATCATTACACGTTCTGACAGTACTTTCCAAAGGAAAATCCACCTTAGAATTACAATAAACAAGTACAGTTTGGCTTTAAATGAAATGAAGTAGCTTTTATCTGACCTGAGCGTCAGTCTTTTCCTAGTGGGAAATATAAATTCAGCATTTGGATACATAATCCTACAGCTCTCAGAAGCCGACTCCACCGCCAACACTTTACATGATTTATAGCTCTCCTCCAGATTCAGATGGCAAGTCTCGACGGAGCAGGTGCAAGGGGGTATTTCTCCTTCGCTCGGAGATAATTTCCTCGCATGTAAATTAATTAGCGAGTCTTCATCACTCTCGCGCAAGCGGGGAGCACGAAGCTAATGGATTACCAGCGGTTAACGTCTCGCTCGGAGCGGTGACCCGGCGGGCTGCCGGAGGGAGGGAGCTCCGCGTCATTACCGCTGAAGCCACAGCGTTTTTTGACAGCATCAGCAGCGACAAAAGTGAGCCCGGCTCCCGCAGTTGCGCCGACAGAGCGCTACATAGCGGGGGAAACGTTCTCCGCGGTACCGCACGCTTTCTGCTCCCTCCCGGCCAGCACCGCGCCCCCACCCGCAGCCCTGCCCCTTCCCCGAACGCCGGAGAAAGAGGGGGCGAGTCCCGGCTCCCATTACCTCCTCCGGAGCCATGGAGAGCGCTGCGGCTGCGGCCGCTGCCTCGACTCCGCACGGCTGGCAGAGCTCTCCTCACTCCCTCACCCCGCTACGCCGTGATCCGGCGGCACAGCCCGCTCCGCATAAATGCATTAACAGCAGCCACATCATGATTAATTCATCAGTCCGGTGACCAGAGGAGGAGGCACGCCGAAAGGAGCGGAGCTGGGAGGGGGTGGGAGCGCGCGGCTCTTTTCGCCCGGAGTTCAGCCCCCGCTGCCCGGGGGGAAGCTGCCGGTGCCCTGCCACATTCAGGAGCCGCCCGCTCGTAGCACCGTCGGCGCTTAGCGGCCGCGGCTCGCGTGTCTCAGCCCGCGCGCAGCGGAGACTCCGCGCTGTGAGTCGGGTTACAGGCAGCGCGCCGCAGATTCCCGGGGAGATCCCTCACCTCGCGGGGGTACAGCAGCGGTGACGGGCTCACTGTGCCCGCAGCCAGGCAGACGCCCAGGCGCGGAGGACGGCCGCGACATCCTCGAGCTGCCCCCTGCCAAGGAGAGACGGGCGACGCAAGAACACTGAGGGCAGAAAGGCCACTTAACCTCCGTGCGGCCGCCGTTACTTCATCAGGAGTGGGCTACAAGTAGCCCAAACCCCCCGGCGCAGGGCAGACAAGCGACCGACCAGTTGCAAGAAGCGGCCCTCTGTACGCAATCCCCTGCTGCTCCAGCTCTGCAGCACCGCTGACTCCTCTCCTGGTTACCCAGCACCAGTCTGGCTGAGCAAGGGGCTTTCCTGAGTTCTTTCACATAGATTTGTTTAAACTTGGGGCACACTGGACCTAGAGTTAGTTCACAGCAGGAATAAATAAGCAATAGCTTTGATTTTAAGGTTTTTGGGATAGATGTTAAGCAAAGATCTACAAGAAACATATTGACATTCCTGTTTTTCCACTCCATAAACACATTAAAGTCTTACATGGCCAGCTGCCCCTGTAATACTACTAGTTATACATAATGTACAACACCAAGCAAGAGACACTTCTTCCAGCCTCATGTCTTCCTAGACAGCTCCATAATCAGGCAATTAAGTTCGTGTAGAACAGATGGTTCATCACCTATATATTACTTCCTTACCTCGTCCACAAACCAAGTTTGCCTACCTGTTAGCATCTGCATGCTTCGAATGATTCCATTTGAGTAGATCACCAATTCTTTCTTGATCATGTGCCAGGAGCAAAAATTTCTCCCGTCACCTCTTGTGGAAGCAAGTATTTTCAACCTGACACAGCTATATATAGAGATTCCTCAGCATCAAACAGAATTTAGAAGCTGCATTTAGAGAGGTCCCCCAAATTGTCACAAATCCTTCATTAGACAATCATTCAAGCTGTGTGAGGAAAGGAAAATGAGATGTTTTTGTTATTTTTCTTTTCCATTATGCTGTAGATTTTGTATACAAGTAACAAGAGTAATTACTTGCAACTCCACAGCTGAGGTTGCATTGTGATTTGTACTGATAGCAGGGCTAAAATCTCTGGGTTTCATACTTGAATGATTACAGTTACAGTACACATTTGGTACAATAACACTTGAGAATTACAGCTGATTTTTCTTTTTCTTTATGATATTTGTTGCATCCTGTAGAGAAAAAAAATTAATTGCCTTCTTTTTCAAATGTTTCTTGTTTTCCTCACAATTCTGAGCTCTTACAGCATTAATTCACGGGCTTCCCACATATTATAAGCCATATATACTGTAAGTTATGAACATACGTTCATAGGTAAAACTGATATTGAATTTTAACTTTTAAAATCAAACAAAGTTACCCTGTTACTTGACACAGCATTTTCTTAGTAAGCGAAATCATGCAAATTTTGATACCAGTCTTAATCTCTTCCATTTAAATATTTACCAGTATAAAGATGCCTGCTTCCAGCCATCTAGTATTAAACCAGAAAAAGCACAGGTATTTAATGAGGTATTTAATTTGATAGGACAAGAAGAAATAGAAATGGCCTAAAACTTGAACAGAGGAAATTCCAGATGAACATGAAGAACAACTTTACAGTAAGGATGATAGAGCATTAGAAGAGGCCACCCATAGAGGCTGTGGAGTCTTTTCCTGTAAGTATATGCAAGACCCATTTTGGACACCTATGGATGTGACCTATTGCAGGGAAACTTTTTTTAGCAGGGAGTTTGTCTCAATGATCTCTTGACGCCCCTTCCAACCCCCACAGTTCTGTGAGGTAGCAGATGGGTTATCAATGTGTTTGTATGAGAAGGATAAAAGTGCAGCATAACTAAAAAGTAGAGTTGAAGAACCTGTATGACTATCTGTAACACTATATGTAACACTATAATGTGATGGAAAGTACAGCAACAACAGCAGGATGGTGAAATCCTAGGCTCCAGGAAGAGACCATGCACCTAAATGCAGCAGCTATTCACAGAGAAACAAAGGAAAGAAGGTGCTTACCTTCAGAAGGCCTCAGATACATGGAGATCTCCAGCAGGTTGCTTTCACCTCCACTGCCAACCCTTAAATGAGGTCTGGGAAGGGGTGGCTCCTGACTCCACTCCTTCTGGTCACTCAGGTACATTGCATGCACCTGAGCTTCCATGCATTGGTCCTGCCTTCCCACCAGGTTCTCAACCACTGCTTCAAACCATAACTCAGCATTCCCATGTTCCAAGAATTCCAAGTGAAAATCCGTGTATCTTCTGTGTAAGATCTCTTGTTTACAAATGGCTTAAGGTCATGATTCAGAATAAAATCAACGTGGCTAATTTGGGAAGAGAGAGGACCTATTTTCAGTGCTTTTCACCTACTCTAAGCATTTTTAGAAATTCTCCAGATTCCTAATCACAGAATTCAATTGCATGGACAATTGCAGTAACAAGTCAGTGCAGTGATATTCTGTGGAGCTATGTACCTATAAAACTATTCAAAATTTCAAAGCCTGGAAACATTCTATTGTTTTTATTTATTAAAATATAACTCTGTGATTCTAAGAGATGCTTAACATCCTTCCTGATGCTTGCTGGTATTATAAGAGGGACAGATTTATCACATACGGATGCATAGTTCCTGCAGTACATGAATTTGTTTGGACAAAGAAGCATTGGAAATATTTCAAGTTATTTTGGTGTTAACATTGTGGATCACTTTGAGTTTCAGTGCTGTCATATCTAGACATTTGTTCTTGGCACATTTCTGCAAAAGACTTTAGATTAAATCTTGATCACATAAAAATCAAAGAAATTTTGCTATTTCCTTCAACATGGTAGGATTTCATTCACTGAGGATTTCATTTCTCTAGGGATTCAGTGTATTTCACATAAAGTTCCTAATAATAGTGGTTTATTAAATAATAAAATCCGAAGTTTTCTAGATTTCTTCTGGAAAATGAATTACTTGAAGGAAGATTATGTCATGATAGGATTAATACTGATTTGATGAAATTAAAGCAGATGATGGTAGTACAGTTATGTGACGTATTCGTGGCCTGAAGGCCATATAACATTTGCTTGATTTCTGACTGAACATTCGAAGTCTGGTCACCATTATTCATCCACTAAGGTTCAAGACATTGCTCTGATTTATGACTGATTCTGACTGCTACGCAGAAACTGTGGTTTCAGTTGAACCATGATTATTTGTTTCAGTCTGAAGCACTGACTAATACTCAAGTCATAAAGGGTGTCTTTTGTCTTGATTTTCAATTAATTTTAAAGTGAATTAAACATCTGACAAATAACGGTGCAAATCTGTCTTTCTGTACTCCACTCACTAGAGTTCATTAAGAGTGAATTTGACTCAGTGCTTCCATGTTCTCGAAAGACATTTTTGTAGCAGCTTTATAACAAAGTGAAATTACCTAGACAAACGTGGATTTCAATTTGCATAAAACTTGCATGGAATTTATCTTATGAAGGCCTCAGGGCCTAGAATATGCAATACCAATCTTATAAAGAGTTAATGTTTATTTTTTAATTAAGAATTGTAATTCCTGACCTCTTAATTACCATGAAATGACTTTTTCCTCACAGACTGTTAGAAATCCATATTAATAGCAAAGTGATAAGGCGTAAGTAAGTTACTGAGACTACTTCAGTAGTTTTCTGAGATGACCAAAGGTTCTTTAAAGAAAATAAGGTAATTCTATTATTGCAGAAGGATTACTGAGGGCATTCCAGATGAACATAGTTAATTTTTGAAGCAGAAATACTTTGCTATATACTCTGTTTTTGTTTTTTAAAATTGCCCTTGGTATTAAACATTCTCACTCATGGCTATTGCGCAGCTCTAGTTTGTATCACCAGATGCAGTGAGCAAATGAAAGAAAACACAGATAATAGGAAAGGTTAATGAATAGTCACAGCAAAGTTTAAGATCATAGAATGGCATAGGTTGATAGGGACCTCAAAGCCCATCCAATTCCAACTCCCCTGCCATGGACTGGTTGCAATCCACTGAATTAGGGTCCAGGGCCCCACCTGACCTTGAGTGCCCCCAGGGAAGGGGCATCCATAACTTCTCTGGGCAGTCTGTTCC